GGGCTGTGGTTGTAGTACTTTTGGGAATTGACAATCTGTAGCTCTCATCAAGAGTCTCACAACCTTCTCCTGAGCAACCCCAAAGTAGGTTTCCTCCTAAGCACATCATTAGGAGAGGAACCTCAATGACGGCTTACCTGCCTCCAGCTGGGTTCCACAAACACTGGCCGAGCAGCACATGCTGCGTTAGCAGGAATGATGCGATCACTGGAGAAGAAAGAGCTTGGCTTCCTGGCAAAGAGCATTCCCGCTTGAGACCTCAGTCCATCCGTTTCAACTATTAGACCTGGGAATGAACAACTCAGTGAGAAACCCCAGCCTAAATGAGGACAGTCTCCCAGGGCCTTTGCATACCTGGAGGGGTTGACATGGTGGAGTAGGCTGGCTCTGAGCTGTGAGAACCTATGCAGGGCTTTATTTATTTGTATCTGGGGTGTAATTTCTTTCTTTTTGAAAGTTTTATTTATTTATTTAGTTTTGGTCATGCTAGGTCTTCACTGCTGTACACAGGTCTTCCTTAGTTGCAGCGAGTGGGGGTTACTCTCGAGTTGTGGAGTGCAGGTTTCTCAATGCAGTGGCTTCACTTGTTGCAAGCACAGGTCCTGGGATTCACAGGCTCAGAAGTTTTGGCTCCCAGGCTCTAGAGCATAGGCTCAGGCGTTGTGGCGCACGGGCTTAGGTGCTCTTTGGCACGTGGGATCTTCCCAGATCAAGGATCGAACCCATGTTTCCTGCACTGGCAGCTGGATTCCTTACCACTGAGCCACCAGAGAAGTTGCCATTTGAGGTGTCATTTCAAGTAGCGGCAAAGGTACTGTGCAGGCTGAGACATGAAACTGAATCCCGGATGTCCTTTCTAGCAATTAGCTCTTGAGCACATTTTCCATTTTTCTCATCTAGAAACATAAAAGTACCTTCTGGAAAGGGTTGCTGGAGGCAGAAGTGATACGGCACTTTCAGGAAAAGAGTTCAGTACACAGGCTGTTGTTATTATTAATAGTAAAAGCCATTTCAAAGGATGCATCCCCATGAACATTTTGTGTCCTCTCTACTTACTGCACAGACAGGCTGACTATACATTCAAAAGACAAAGGGACCGGCTCATCCTCCCAGTCTCCCCCTAAGGATGGACCTGGGTGGTGCCTCATTTCTCCCTGCTCCAGGACTACTACTAGGACTGCTGCTGGGTCAGCAGCTAGCTCAGCTCACCAAGGACCATCTCTGCTACCCACAGCCTAAGTCTGGATCGATCCCCATCACAGGGCCATTTTGAGGATTAACTAGTCCATCACATGGAGTCCTGTGAAAAGTGCCAATATGGCCGAGGCTATTGTCAGGCCAACCAGAGGCTGAGTTCACTGGTTTCCCTGGCTTCCAACATGCTCAAGCTGAGTCCTGCAGCTGCAGGAACTCTCCTGTGGGCAAAATCTCAGCATATGCAGGCTTCACTGAGCTCTGGGGCTGCCTGCCTGCCCACCTGCCGATGGACCTGCTTAGATCTATTGCTCTGTTTCTCTAAGGGACAGAGAGGGAGAGAAGATAAAGGGATCAGGATTGCAGACACCAAAGAGCTTCTGTTTGTGTTTCTTACAGAACTGAATACATTACATTTTCCCTCTTGGCATCAGCTTATTGACTCAAAACATAGTTCTGAGATTATACCTTTCTGATTTTATGTTTTGCAAGTCTCCAAGGTCCCTGGAAACCTATAGGGTATTTTTTTACTCTCTGAGATGTGATCTCCATAATAATAATAATTAAAAAAACTAACACAACAATTCATTTATTTCATCAAGGAGTGTTTATTGAGTACCTACTGTGCGTTCAGCAGTACATTAGGAGCTCAGAAGCCTCCTGAAGGAAAAGAAGACACTACCATAGTTTTGTTGTTGTTTAGGCATCACCGACTCGATGGACATGAGTTTGAGTAAATTCCGGGAGTTGGTGATGGACAGGGAGGCCTGGCATGCTGCGATTCATGGGGTCGCAGAGTCGGACACGACTGAGAACTGAACTGAACTGAACTGAGCTGCTAAGCTGTGTCTGACTCTTTGTGACCCCATGGTCTGTAACCCACCAGGTTCTTCTGTCCTGGGGTTTCCCAGGCAAGAATACTGGAGTGGGTTGCCATCTCCTTCTCCAAGGGATCTTCCTGACCCAAGGATTGAACCTGTGTCTCCTGCATTGGCAGGCATATTCAATACCGCTGAGCTACCAGGGAATCCCCTATGCCATACTTTTAGATCTAATATATATTAGGTATATATAGTGTGTATATATATATATATATCAGCTCAGTTCAGTTCAGTCGCTCAGTCGTGTCCATATACACAGTCTCTGTGAGGCACTTTAATTGCCTCATCTCATTAATTTTAAAAAATATTTATTTATCTGGCTGCACCGGGTCTTAGTTATGGCATGTGGGATCTTTAGTTGCAGCACATGAACTCTCAGCTGTGGCATGTGGGATCTAGTTCCCTGACCAGGAATCGAACCCTGGGCCCCTGCATTGGGAGCTTGGAGTCTTAGCCACTGAACCACTAGGGAAGTTCAGTATCATCTCAGTTAATTCTCATAACTCTAGGAAAGAGGTATCATTATCCCATTTCACAAGTGAGCAGAGACTCAGAAGGTTTGTAACTTGTCCAAGGTCATTTGAAGTAACAGGAGCCAGAATTCTCAGCCAGTGTTGTCTGACTGAAGCAGCACTGGTTCTTCCCACTAGAATAGCATGGAGGAGAAAAGGACACACAGGGAGTAGTCAATCAACTGCAAAAAAAGGCAGATTATTAAGCCTGGGTGATCAAGTTCAGAGCGTGTGGGTTTATGGAGGGAGGGCCTGAGAGTCTGGAGGGCTTCCTGGAGGAGGCAGCTCAGAAGCGCACTAGTAGCACTGGAGGCTCAGGGCACAGGTTTTGGATGGTGTGCCACGTGATGCTGGCATGCCACGTGATGCTGGCTCTGGGAAGGAATGAACTTGAGCTCCGTTAGTGTCGAGACAGTGGATCCTGAACTCAGCTGGGTGGGGCCTAGGCTTGAGGGGTGGGAAGCCCAGCAGAGCTGTCTGGACCTGAGGAGATGGCAGCAGGGAGTATCTGGGAACCAGGGAGGCAACAGCCACGCCCGGAGAGTATGACTCTGCAATGCTGGCTGGAAGGAGAGGGTGGGCGTGGCTTAGAGACCGCAAGGGCCAGGCAGGTGTCTTGGGAAGGGTCCACCCAAGGGAGTCTGGTCCCCTTGGGTTCAGGGGCCAGGTGGGCGGGGGAGCAGAGGTGGAGTCTTTAGGCTTTGGAGGAGGATGACTTTGAGGCACAAAGACAAGAAGGAGCATATTCCATCACAGATGGCTTTGAAACTCCCTCCAAGGTCACATCACGCCTCTGCTCATTGCTCTTCAAGGCTTCCTGTGGCTTGTAGGATTCGGTCCAAATCCCTCTTTCTGACATTTCAGGCACTTCCCTCTGGCCACAGTCTACCTTTTTTGGGCTCTTCGCCCACTACTCTCCTAAATAAGTCCTCTGCTCTTCACAATCTGAGTGACTCATTCTCCTCCCAGCCTCCCGGGCTGCCCACCCTCCTTCACCCCACCCCCACCCCAAGCTGGTCCCCACAAAGCCCACCAGCCAGCCAGACCTTCTCAGCAAACATGGCCGGACAATCACTGTGCCAATCACTGTGCTATAAATTACCTCTGATAGCTTTTCCAGCAGAGTCTTCAATAATTAACATTTTATTGCTGTTTAACTTTGGCTGTGGGTGTCTCCCTCATGCCAGCCCTGTCCTTGAGGGCTGATCTTTTTACAGAAGTGGTCTCAACCGGGAAAGTCATTTCGCCTTAGTTTGTCTCTCTGCAAAATGGAGCCAGTAAAGTATGGTGGCTCTATGGCTTGCGGGAGACCATCCATGACTATTCTGGTCCTTTCCTCTGGTGTGAAGCAGCCCCAGGGGTGGGGGCAGGAGAAGGTAGGGTCCCCAGGACAGGAGGAGCAGAGAAGGACCTGAGAGAGCCGTAAAGGGATCCTTTTTTTTATCCATTTCGATCTCTGCATTTTCAAGGGACCGTTAGCATCACACTAAGATCTAGAACCGCACCACCCAGCTTTAAAAAGCCACATACGGATTTCTTCAGCAAATGGAGGGACCCCTAACTTACAAATTCACTATGGGCTTGGGACACGCATGCCCTTTCCCAGAGGTGGAACCACCGCAGCACGTGCTGCGTAGCCTTGACTGTTTACAAAGCGCGTTTCGCTGACCTCGTCTCCTTGAACACCTTTGCGACCCCGCAAGCTCCCTCGGCACCTCCACTTGGCAGAAGAGGACGCGGAGGTTCTAGGAGGCGACGTGACTTGCTCGAAGTGGCACAGGGTGCTGTCGCTCAGCGGTCCTGGGCTGCACCGTCCAAACGGGGTCTGCATCCTTGGGGGTGGGGGTGAGAAGGGGAGAAAGGGGAGGCACGTGCCCCAGGGTACCGCTAGGTCGGCTCGGGAGCCTCGGAGCGCGCGTGGGAAGGAGGCGTTGATGCCCTCGGCTGCAGCAGCCGACCGGGGCGGGGATGCAGCCCCCTCCCTAGCCCGGGCCTTTCCCAACCTCTCGGGAGCCTGTCTCCCGGCGCGACCCCGCGGGTGCACTCGGAGGCGCGCGCGCCCCGCCCCCACCCCACGCCCCGCGCGCTCCCCGGGCCGCCGCGCGCGCGCCTCGCCGTCGCTCCCCTCCCCGCCCCTCCCGCCACCACCCCGCCCCCGGCCGGGTACCCTCGTCGGACCCGAGAGAGAGCGCCGCCGCCATCTTAGTTGCTGCCACTGCCTCAAGCGAAGCGCTGCCTCCGCCGAGGGGAGGGCGCCCGCGGCCCAGCGTCACGGCGGCGGCTCCTCCTCGGACCCTGGTGCTCGCCGCGGAGGCAAGCAGCCGGCTCCGGGTCGCGAGAGCCTCGCTCGGCGTCCCACGAGCGTCCCTGCCGCTCCCGCCTCGGGCCGGCCGCGGCGCCGGGAGCCGGAGCGATGCTGCGCCGCCCTGCGCCCGCGCTGGCCCCGGCCGCCTGGCTGCTGCTGGCCGGGCTGCTGTGCAGCGGCGGGGTCTGGGCCTCGCGAGGTAAGCCCCCGGGTCGGGTCAGGGCGCGGGGGCCGAGCGCCGGGACCCGGGTCGGGAAGCGGGGGGTCGGGGCCAGGCGAGCGGCTCTGGGTCGGGGCGCAGGAGGCCGTGCGCGCGCGTTGCAGGCGCCGGGGGGGGCGGCGGGGGGGGAACCAGGTTACGTTTCGGGCGCCGCACCGGGGCCCTGGCCGCCCGCATTGCACCCTCGTCCGGGTGGTGGCTGCACGGGTCTGGGGGAACGTGCGGACGGGCCGAAGGATCGGTCCGCCTTTCTCGGCAGCGCCCGCGTGCTGGGGCTGCATTCTCGGGGAGGGATGCCGTGTGCCTGTGTTGTGTGATCAGATGTGCATCAAGCCGGGGGTGCATGCAGAATTTTTGGTGTGTGCTTACATAAGAGCCCACTCCCCCGCATCCCTTCCCAGATCCCGATTATCTGCGGCTGCAACCGCGGACGCGGCGTCTGCGCCTCTTTCCATCTCCTTCCAGGGTCTTTTCAACGTCTATTTTCAAAGGAGCAGAGGCTGAAACTTTTGGCTTCCCTCCCACCTTTTCACCCAAAGGTGAAATTGTGATGAGGTTTACGACGGTGGTCTCACCCGGTGTTAGAAATCTTCTTCTCTTCCGCCCCCAACACATTGGTGCGGTTTTTCTGACAATTTACACCATACAAATAGGAGAAACCCCTGTTTGATTCCTTAGGGTCGAAATTATTTTATGGTAACTTGACAAAAAAATATTTTTTTAGTGAATCGATTGTTTTGTTGTTATTTTTTAACCTTCAACCACTTAACCTTAAACGTTGCACGCCTCTTGATATTGACTGATCTTGCCAACGAAAAGCTTACGCATTGCAGATATATGCTTCGGAGTGGATCTTGGAATGGTAAACATTTTTCTCGGCCTTGAAGCAAAGTAATCTAGGTGTAGTCTATAGAGAGTACTTAGATCTGTGCTTATGGTTTTTTTTAAATAAAAATTGGAGGGAGGGAGGATTGATGGAAGGCCAGATGGAATGGTCATATTTCAATTTAGCAAGGCTTTAAAAAAAAAAAATCTCATTTTCTCTTTCTGGGCATGACATATCAAGAGAAGTATGGTGTTCACAAATTAAAGGGCAGGAGAGGCAAATGCATCTTTTGTTCTATGTTCCTTTCTTCACATTGAGGATGATAAACTTTGAATACTTCTTTCATTTATTTCATTTCTAACATTCTGTTGACTCTGTCAAATTCAAATCTCAGTCACTATGTATCTAATTGCTCTCAGTTTGATTTTTTAAAGTTACATCAAGCAGAGTTTGGAATGTTCTTTCCAGATGTGGGATGGGGGTCTGTAAGTTTAATATATCCAAGAAAAAATGTCAAAATTTGCTTCTCTTGGGGAAAACCCACACAGCTTAAAAATATGTGCTGGGATTGGATATTTGGGGAACAAGTGTATTTAGTTTAGTCAGTGATAATATTTCTTATTAAAACTCCACATTTTTCTTAAGTGTGTCCACTCATCTACATTTACTGTTAATTATTGAATTAGCAATGGGCTAATTAGCCTATTAGCATTGCTGAAGATTTCAGCTATTAAGTATGGTTTTTATGGCAGACTAACAGAAATCTCACATGAAAGACACATTGAGGACTCGAGTCCTTTGTCATTTGCTAACTTTCTGTAAGATTTCTTGGTGCATTTTTAGTATTTAAGAATTTTTAGTCTTCAAAATAAAAGCATTTTAAACCTCAGTTATTCTGTTGTGTTGTTGGTTTTGTTTTGTTTTTTCTTTTTCTAGATTACAAGTTAGAAAATGTGTTCCATGAAATGCGAATAAAACGGTTTTCTTTTGAGCTGTTACAAACATATCTTGTACATAAACAGGCAATTTGTGGAGACTCCTTCTGTGGGCTCTTTTTAAAAGATGATCTTTTTAGCTAATATGTGAATTCTTAATCCTGCCAGACAGTGTGACACTATGATCTTCTGTTGGTTCATACTCTAGCTGCCTTTAAAAACAATAGGAGGAAGATAACCTAAGCTGCTGTAAGGTTTATAATATGAATTCCATTTTAACTATTCATTGTTTTATGGAGAACCCTAAATTTCACTTTAATTGTAGCTAAAGTTCTCTTTAAAAAAAAAATTTCAAGTAAACCAGAAAACTAGGAGAAATTTCCGAGGCTGCCTTCCTTCTCCAGTTTGTCAATGATCAGGAAATAGAAAACTGAAATAGAGAAAATGGAAAGTTTATATGGCTACTAAATAAGAACAAATGCAATCTTGGAATGCATTTCGAAGCTAAATAAATAACGTGCACTGTTATTTTCCCGTTTGCACACAGGCTTCTTGGTAGAGCCTCTGCTCACCATCCTGGTTGAAATTTCATCTCTCTGAACCCCTGAATCCTCCCTCCTCTGCTTCACTTTCTGCTTCTCCATGGCACTTACCCCATCCTGACACGCTCTGTTGTTTACTTGCTCTGTTCAGTGCCTGCCTCCCCTCACTGGAACACATGCCCCAGAGCAGTCTGTGGTGTTCGCGTGTATATCCTGTCACCTGCACTCGGTGGACTCTTTGCTGTGTGAACGAATAAAATGTATAATTGTGTTCAGTTTAGACACCAGTGTGTTTTTACATCCTGATTTTCACCTGACATAGACGTTTCATGCTGAGAAAAGCATTACAGACATAGAATCCAAAGGAACTTGAATTCTACAACATGGATGTGAGAAGTCACTGTTAGATAATTTTTCAAGGATTCATTCTATTCATTGCAGTGTTGGGACATTAGATCATTAAACGGCTTTGTAGACTGTAACTCTGTGGTTACCACGTTGAGGTCATGTTTCAAAAATAGTGTAATTCTCACCTTATGGGAAAACAGTTTCTTACTTTGTTACCTTGCTTTTCAGAAGCAATTTTGAGGGAAAATAAGTTTATCATAGACTTAAATATTATACTTAATTTAATATTTTTATTGCTGAAAGTAAATATATTTATTTCACATGAGACCTATAACTACTAAAGAAATAATATTAATGATTCTGAATGTGTTGCAATTTAAGAGCTATGACTTGGTTAACTGGAACCCTCAGTTGACTGGAACCTAGCTTTTGGCTGCATGCTACTTTCAGGAAAAGAAGCAGAAAACCTAGCAGTTTCCTAGAAATTCTGTTTCAAAAGAAAATTTTAAGCATTCATATCACATATTATGTGGGTCAGTACTATTTGATTTTTGAGCCAAAAAGAAAATGAATTAAGTCTTAGGTATGAGGAATATACTCTAATAATTGGAATTTTTGTGAAATATAACATCATTTTCCTAATGAAATTGGAAAATGCTATAGTTCCATGACACTAGTTTCAGGACTTGGTTAAGCTTACTAAACCCATTTTTTGTCTTTTTTGATGTGGACCACCTTCAAAGTCTTCACTGAATTTGTTGTAGTATTGTTTCTGTTCCATGCTTTGGCCGCAATGCATGTGGGATTTTTGCTCCCTGACCAGGGATCGAACCTGCACCCTGCTGTGTTGGAAGGCAAAGTCCCAACCACTGGACCGCCAGGGAAGTCCCACTAAGCCATTTCTTGATGTTTAAAATGAGGAACCTGAGGGATGTTAAATTTCTAAGAAATGAAATAAGCAATTGAATTATTGTTTTCTAAGACAATAAAATGTAATGTTTTGCATAAAGTTTTCATTTATAAGGTTTGAAACAAAGTATATTTGGTTATTCTGAAAATCATGAGTTATTTCTCACTTGTTCTGATTAATTGAGGTTTTAGATCATTAGGGTTTTAAAAATGTACCTTGCTTTTTCTGTGGTTATGAGTTGGTGACAGCAGAGGTACTTAAGCAATGTATCTTGAAATTTAAGATACTGATTCGTGATAAAATACAGATTTTAGTAGAGCCTCAGGAATGTAAATAGGTTCAGAGTTGGTGGAAATGATTTATGCAGTGTCATGTTCTTGCACTGTTAAAAAACAGCAAAAACCAAACCCTCAGGAGCGACATCTTGACACCAGTAAAGGCTATCAAAGGCCAGAGTTAGGAGCCTTTAGGCTGTGATGGTCCCCCTGCCAATGCATCAGCCTGATTCGAGGGGTTGGTTTTTCCATGGAGCCTCCATCACCTAGGATTTGAGCACAGCATCCAGTTGTCCCCTATGTGATAGGTCCATTCTTCCCTATGTTTTAGGGCTATTTTTGTTCATTTTCTCCTTTAGCTGTAGGGTGATATTATTATTAGATTAGAATTTTCCACAAGATTTGTTGCTAAGGGTTTTTTTTTTTTACTTTTAAAGTTCTCTGGGAAGATTCAGTTGCTTCAAAGTAACTGAATTTAGAACATCTTAAAAACCTGTAAGACACATCTGAAAGTTAACGTCCATTCCAGAACCCCAGTAAGAGGTATGCAGTAGCACAATAGAGGAAGAATTGTGTTTCTCTTTTTTCATCTTTGGTCAGATGTGAATATGTTTTGGACCATAATTCTCTCGGGACAAGAACTTCTGTCAAGTCTGCTAATCTTCAAGTCTACTTTGATCTGTACTTTCTGGAACTTATTGTTTTAGGGCAAAAGAAGACTCTTCCTGCATCTCTCTTCATTTTAAAAACAGGTTTCTTTCCATTGAAGGGGCTGCAGGTTTGGTCCCTGGTCGGAGAACTTGGATCCCATGTTCCTTGTGGCCAAAAAACCAAAAACTTAACACAGAAACAATACTGTAACAACTTCAATAAAAACTTGGGGGGAGAAGCAGGTTTATTGAAATGTAATTCACATTCTGTAATATTCACCCTTTTGAAGTATACAGTTTGATGATTTTAGTGTATTTACCAGTTGTGCAACCATCACCAGTATCTACTTTCAGCACATTTTCATCACTCTAAAAAGAAGTGATGAAAGCCCTTAGCAGTCACTCCAAATTCCCCCTTTCCCATTCCCCCCAGCAACCAGTAATCTACTGTCTCTATTCTGGACATTTCATGTCAGTGGAATCATACAACATG